CACACCCACACAAAAAACAAACACTTTCAAACAAATACATATGCCAGATAGCGATGAAGACTCGAATCAGCTGTTGCTTCTCACCATGATGCTGATGCGGCGCAATCAAAGGCCAGCTTCCAGTGGCGAATGTGGATCCCGTATCATCATCAATCCATGTTGCAGTTGCCCTAACCAGGGCAGCCCTAGCTGTTGTTGTGGCTGTGGTTGTTGCTGTGACAGCCGCCCAAGGCCATGTTGTTGTCCCTGCTCTCCTTGCTGCCAGCCGAGTTGCATGTGTAGTGGGTATGGAGGCGGCTCCTGCCTTAAGTTCTGCTTTACTGCCCTGCTAAGCCTGGAATCTGCCGGCCACCGGAGATTGGACCCTATGCTTTTGGGAAAACCTTACCGACCGGTGGGAAACCTCTATAAGGGAGTGATAGAAAAGAAAGATGAAAACTTCTTTGGGATGCCTATTGGCCTGTATTTGCTTTTTATAGCATTTTCACATTTTTCGCCCAGATGTTAAAGAAGCAAATAATCATAAGTGATGTTAAATTTTTTCTAAAAATAGCAAACAAATGCTTAAAGGAGAAAAAAAATCAAAAGCGCTTACGTCATAATTGAGCCTACGCCAGGTCTACAGATTAGCAATGGAGACATTTGATAGTCGACCGATAGAGCCATTGACAACTAATCAATCTCCTCGGTTAGTCACAAAACAATGGTGTACTATTACTACAATATGGGATGTATTCACTCTATATCGTTTAAGGCGATGAGGAGTGGTAGTAGAGTTTTCCCACAATGATATGAGTAGAGCTGACGTTTCCACTGAATTTCACAGAGCCTTGTTTTCCAAAATTTGCTTTCATCCCAGCTGGAGTGGACTGCAGTTTCGACCTCGCATAGGTCTTATCAACATCCCCAGCGGGAGCCGAACCGCGACATTGCAGCATGTGAGCTTGACACTTTAGCCACTCGGCCACATTGCCACGAGTGTCCTTGGTTCACAGGGCAGATGGGAATTTCAAGGAAGGCCAGGCCTTTTCCCATATCAAATTCGTTGGTGCGAGTGACGATAAAGCAAAGGTATTTTTGCTGTAACAATCGACTACATTACTTATTTTTCGTAAATAAGCAGACTTTCGGGACTACTAATAAATCAGTAATATGATATGTATTTATCCAATTTCGAAGGCCGCGTGGCAAATAATTGTTTAATGAATGTGAACGTCATTATATTGGCCAGGCTAGTAGACACTTCCTTAGTGAATCCATA